TGGAGCCATGTAGTTTAGACGTACCCTTACAGTATACTTGCTGGTAAGTTAAGGATGTATGGATTGGATACTTAGGATAAGGCGGATAGAAAGCTGGCTAGATTGTTGGGCTCAGCAGGTAGTGATCAACAGCTTAATGTCTGGTTGGTGGTTGGTATTAAGTGGAGTGTCCCAAAGGTTGGTTCTAGGGCCAGTTTTTTTCATCATCTTTATTAATGGCCTGAATGAGGGGATGGATCGCACACACAGCTAGTTTACAAACACTTAGTTGGGGGAGAGGTACATATGTTGGAGAGTAATTATTTAAATCGCAGCTTCATTTCCCTTTGCCGATCAGCCTAATCTACATGGCTCCATAGATGGAGCCATGTAGTTTAGACACACCCAGAGTGTTGCTCATAAGAGGGGAGAAGTGCAGAGGCTGCAAATGGAAAGAAAGGCTCTTGCCACACTTTTCATTCTAACTTTTTGCAATATTTTGCTTGTTTTCAACTTTCTCAATGTGTCGTCCTAATTCCTGGTTTTTTCATTTGCCAGAACTGATATATCACATTTATCTTTGTTTCTACTGAAATTGTTTTCATATAATCTGTTATCATAATAGTTCATCAGACAACAGAAAACTTCCCTACCCAAACACAAACTAAAACCAGCATTCCAATAATTCAACAGTTCTACTAAATTGCTGCTCACATGTATACTTTAGCATGTCTATAAAATTTTTCAAGATTAAATCTGAAACCAACAACCATTCTCTATTTGAGTGATCACATTTTGGACACTCTCATTTTAACTTGTTTATCATTTTATTGTATATCACCCCAGTGGCAGTTTTGCCTGAGTAAAATGTGCGAATAATGGCTTAAGGCAATACTGTATGTTGCTGTTTTGAAGACTGTGTATCTCAATGTATGGGTAAATAGAATAGATAGCTAGAACAGCCTTGACAAAAGCCAAACACCATTTTGCTTGAGTAAGGAGTGCATGATTCACTGGCAGTCTGAAAAGTACCCAAGGCTACAAAGATTTCTGTAAGGCTCTTAAAGAGAAGATGCACTAAAGAATAATCTGCAGGAAAGGATGGGACTGGCAATGCCTAAGATTTATTAAAATGACTGTTTTAGAATTTGAGAGTTTTTAAAAACATGTAATTCTCTGTTGTCAAAATGATGGGTGAAAAACAATTATTCACATTATAATCAAATAGTGACCTTATGCACATGTGCACAATTTGCGCTGGAATCAGTGGGACCTTTATGTCTATACATCAGGGCAAAATGTGTACCTCAGTGCTGTTTTCTGCTCTCTGCTCTGCTACCCTGCCCTCAAATATTAGGTGTGCCACAAATGAGCTGTCAATGCTAATGCTAACTCAGGCTAAGTGACACATTCTCTCTAGCACCTAAGAAGATTAACAGATGCAGAACAGATTTTATATGCAAAAATTATTTCTTGTGGAGAATTATAAAATACCTTAATCCACTGAATAAAATTTCCCCCTAAGTGAAATGCTCATAATGTGGGATATATGCAGTGCTAAGCAGTCCTGTCTGATGTGTTACTAGGCTTAATCTACACCAGCAGAGATGCAGTTTACATCTGTAATAAAAAGTACTTTTGCAAGTATAATTCCATCAACACTATGGATTTCACTCCTCACCAATGTTAATAGACTGGCAAAACTTTCTAGTGCAGGTCTAGTCTGAATATCAAAGGACTCTAGACTCGTCAGGCAAACTAAATCGTATTTAGCAGAGGTGAGTAACTACTAGCCTGGGAGCCAGATTCGCTCCACCAGGGTTAATTCCTAGTGGGCCCCTGCCACTATCTGTACCTGCACAGCCACAAGTACACAGATAGTGTAGACATACCCTAGGAGCTGCAATCGCTGGTCCCTGTGGGCATCCAGGTAAATATGGCGGTAGCAGCCCATCAGGCCCTAACCCTGGCAAACTGCTGCTGTGTTATTGTCTGTCCCTAATTTATAGCACAGAGTAGGTGCCTGATAATTTTACTCCAAATGGCTCCTGAAAAATAAATTGTTCAGGTGCATTTTACTAAGTAAACCACAATTATCACTTAGTATTTCAGCCAAAAATTAAGAAGAGATGGTCAAATCTTATCTCAAATGAGATCAATGATTATAATTGATTACAGGCAGTCCCCGGGTTACGTACAAGATAGGGACTGTAGGTTTGTTCTTAAGTTGAATCTGTATGTAAGTTGGAACTGGTGTCCAGATTCAGCCGCTGCTGAAACTGATCAGTTTCAACAGCGGCTGAATCTGGACACCAGTTCCAACTTACATACAGATTCAACTTAAGAACCCCAGGCGTCCCCAAGTCAGCCGCTGCTGAAACTGATCAGTTTCAACAGCGGCTGAATCTGGACACCAGTTCCAACTTACATACAGATTCAACTTAAGAACCCCAGGCGTCCCCAAGTCAGCCGCTGCTGAAACTGATCAGTTTCAACAGCGGCTGAATCTGGACACCAGTTCCAACTTACATACAGATTCAACTTAAGAACCCCAGGCGTCCCCAAGTCAGCCGCTGCTGAAACTGATCAGTTTCAACAGCGGCTGAATCTGGACACCAGTTCCAACTTACATACAGATTCAACTTAAGAACCCCAGGCGTCCCCAAGTCAGCCGCTGCTGAAACTGATCAGTTTCAACAGCGGCTGAATCTGGACACCAGTTCCAACTTACATACAGATTCAACTTAAGAACCCCAGGCGTCCCCAAGTCAGCCGCTGCTGAAACTGATCAGTTTCAACAGCGGCTGAATCTGGACACCAGTTCCAACTTACATACAGATTCAACTTAAGAACCCCAGGCGTCCCCAAGTCAGCCGCTGCTGAAACTGATCAGTTTCAACAGCGGCTGAATCTGGACACCAGTTCCAACTTACATACAGATTCAACTTAAGAACCCCAGGCGTCCCCAAGTCAGCCGCTGCTGAAACTGATCAGTTTCAACAGCGGCTGAATCTGGACACCAGTTCCAACTTACATACAGATTCAACTTAAGAACCCCAGGCGTCCCCAAGTCAGCCGCTGCTGAAACTGATCAGTTTCAACAGCGGCTGAATCTGGACACCAGTTCCAACTTACATACAGATTCAACTTAAGAACAAACCTACAGTCCCTATCTTGTACGTAACCCGGGGACTGCCTGTATTATTATTTCCCCACTGTGGCCTATCCACATGTAAAGCTGGTCCTTTAGTTCTTTCATATAAGTTATATACATGCCATTTTTAAACTTCTAGACAAGGCAGATGGAACATAGGAACAGCCATAGTGAGTGAGACCAAAGGTCCATCTCGTCCAATATCCAGTCTTTCAACAGTGGCCAATGCTAGATATTTCAAACAGGAAGAACAGAAGAGGGCAAGTGATCCATCCCCTGTAGTTCTGCCCTACCATCTTGCAGTCAAATATTTAGGGACACCCAGAGCATGAGGTTCTACCCTGACCATCTTGGCTAATGGCTATAGATGGAACTATCCTGCATGAACTTATTTAATTCTTTTTTGAATATAGTTATTGTTTTGGCCTGTACTATATTCCCTGGCAATGAATTCCATAAGTTGATTGTGTTGTGTAAAGAAGTACTTCTTGTTGTTTGTTTTAAGTTTACTGCCTACTAATTGCATTGGGTGATTCCAGGATTATGTATTATGTGAAGGGACAAACAACACTTCCTCATTCACTTTCTCCACAGCAATCATTATTTTAGACATCTGTATCATATCCTCCTTTAGTTGTTTCTTTTCCAAGCTCAGCAATCCCAGTCTTTTTACTCTCTCCTCGTTCCATTCCCTTTATCATTTTTGTTGCCCTTTTCTATATCTTTTCCACGTCTAATGTATCTTTTTTGAGCTGGGGCAACCAAAACTGGACACAATATTTAAGGTCTGGGTGTATTAGGATTTATATAGTGACACTATGATATTTTCTGTTTTATCATTTATCCCTTTCCTAATGATTCCCAACACTCTGTTTGCTTTTTTCCGCTGTTGCTGTGTAAGAGTGGATGTTTTCAGAGAACTATCCATGATGATTCCAAGATCTCTTTGTGGCAACAGCTAATTTAGAACCCAATTTAGATTTTGTGTGTATAGTTAAGATTATATTTTCCAATGTGCATTACTATACATCTATCAACAGTGAATTTCATCAGCCATTTAATTGCCCAGTCACCCAGTTTCGTGGGATTCCCTTTGTAGCTCTTCACAGTCTGCTTTGGACTGAACTATCTTGAGTAATTTTCATAACATTTACAAACTTTGCTACATCATTTAATCCTTTTCCAGATCATTTCTGAATAAGCTGTACAACACTGGTTCCAGAACAAGCCCTGGGGGACATTGCTCCATTCTGAAAACATTACATGTGTCCATTCTGAAAACATGTATTTCTAGCCTTTGATTCCTATCTTTTTACCATTTACTGATCCATAAGAGGGTTTTGTCTCTTATCCCATGGCTACTTACTTTGCTTAAGAACCTTTGGTGAGGGATCTTGTCAAAGGCTTTCTGAAAGTCCAAGTGCATTGCATTCACTGGATTGCCCTTGTCCACAGGCTTGTTGATGCTCTCGAAGAATTCTAGTGGATTGATGAGATGTAATTCCCCTTAACAAAAGCTGTGTTGGCTTTGCCCTCAAATTGTGTTCATTTATGTTTTTTATAGTTCTGTTCTTTGCTATAGTTTCAACCAATTTGCCTGGTACTGAAGTTAGGCAATTGACAGGATTGTCTCTGAAACCTTTTTTAAAAGGACTCACGTTAGCTATCCTCTAGTCATTTAGTACAGAAGCTGATTTAAGTGATGAAATACAGCAGGTTAAAGCAGAATTATATATGAGCAGAAAAGAGACTTAAGATCTAGTCTGCATTAGAAAATGTCTGCCAAAATCTCCATAAGGACTATCAAATCTCTCTCTCTCTCTCTCTCAAGTTTTTGAAAATTTTCTATGGCAAAATAAATTCTTACACTAAAAATAGTAATTGGATGACTTTTCCCTCTTCAGTCAGGATCTGATCCAAAGCCTATTGAAATCAAGTTGTAATTCCTTCTATAAAAGTATTCAGCTAGAGGTGTGTGATAACTGATTTTTCAGGCTGGTGGCTGACCTGAAAAAAATTAGAAAACAAAGTGATATTTGGGTTGACCAGAAGCTTAATTTGTTAGTATTTTTCAACAAACTAAAGAGCTAAGTAATAAATAAAATAATAATAATAATTTTGAGTTAACACAATTTTTGTGTTATTTCATTCAACCTGAAATTAAATGTTTCATTTTCTTTTTGAGATTTGATTCACCCTTTAAAAAATTTAAAAACCAGTAAAATTTGGAATAAAAATAGTTTTTAGACCAATAAAAGACAAAGTGATTTTTAAATGGCTTTTTGGACTCTTTGTTAACTGAAAGAATTCATTGAATATGATGCAAAATGGTTCAGTCAACCCTAATCTGCATTTTTTGGCTAAAAATAAAGACTTGTGAAAAATTTAGCTCAGTACTACATACATTGACTGATGAAGATTTCTTAAATGCCTAATCCATTTCTTTACTTCAAAGTGGACTTCCCTTCCCATTGTTGATGGATGAAACGGACAGAAATCTTTGCTGAGATCAAATTAACAACAGTTGTCTTCCTTTATTCCCTTCTCTAAAACTGTGTAGCATAGAAAACAGGGATGCTGTAGCCGATCAAGTAAAGAAAGAACTATAGACAACACCTGTTTAATATTGTTCACTGTGAGGATATGCATTTGTGGGATCAGGGCTTAGCTATTTCAAATTTCAAATAGTAATTAAAAGCAAAGATATATGAAGCTATGTCTTCTATCGCAATAGTCTGTTTTCCAAGTTATTCCAATTACGAATTCTGTCTCTTTCTCCTACCTCCAGTAATGGAAATAATAGTCCAGTTAACTCTGATTTAGCCATTTCTCAAAATAAAACCGCCACATCTGCAATACAGAACAGCACAGAACAAAGAAATCATTTGGACTGGATGAAAAACAAGAAAAATCCATTAAAAAGCCCCAAGGTTTCAAAAATTCTTTTGTTCTGCATTGCAACAGAAATGAGAGCTTTACAAAAATTGAGATAAAATATGAGAGAAAGAGAGAGACAAAGAATGTCTTATGGTAGATCTCTCTCTCTCTCTCTCTCTCTCTTTCTCCCTCTCTCTCCATTTCTGACAAAAATTTCTTGACCAGCTTTAAAACCAGAACTAAGTAGGGAACAATCCAAAAATGTTTAGATACAGTAATTCTGTTAAAATCACATACACAAGAATAAAAATACGGAGATCAAAATAAAATAATTTTTCCTCAAGGAACTCACGATCAAACACATTAAATGCATGAACATTACAAACTCATGGAAGATGGGTTCATCAGTGGCTATTAGCCGAGATGAGGCAGGATGAAACCCCATACTTTAGGGTGTCCCTCTATCTCTGACCACAATATGGTGGGAGTGGACTATGGAGATGGATAACTTGACATTTGCCCTGTTCTGTTCACTATCTTTGAAGCATCTGGCACCAGCCACTGTTCAAAGACAGGATACTGGACTGGACAGGGCATTGGTCTGACCCAATATAAACATTCTTATATTAATATGCTGTGTTTATCAGCCCCTTTAGTTTAAGATCATATTAACTACTTTTCTAAGCCTGAACCACCTCTCTGACAAGAAATATAAAGTTTTATGCAACAGCATAGTGTAATAAATTATCTTTTGTCTTCTTATAAAAGAATCATACACCTGGAAATCCCAAATGAAAGTTAAATATTTTATATTTCAAATCATTTAGAGGAGCCTTATCAAATAATTTTCCAACCCCTTTTCTCTGGACACAAGGTGATGTGGTTGTACTGAACTGCATTGTTAAAGCAGACAGGCTTCTGACTTTGTACCAGTCAGAACTCTTTTAAGGAGGGTGGCTTCCCTTGAAGATATAATTTGCAATAATCAAACCTGGCAGTCAGCTATGTGTGATTCACTTTGGGTATATCTACACTACAGAGTTTTTTTTCTAAAACAGCTGTTTTTCTGAAAAAAAAACTTCAATTATGTTCACACTGCAATTGCGTTTTTCCATTAAAAAATTGAAAGAAGAGGTTTTTCTGACATTGGTAATCCTCAATCTACAAGGAAGAAGCCTTTTTCCAAAAGAACTCTTTTGGAAAAAGGTGTGAGTGGACGGGGAAGAGGGAATTCTTTTGAAAGAAGAGGAAAGAGGAAAATGCACAGGTACCCTGGTGGCCACTCCTTCTTCCATAGTAATCACAGCTGAAATGCAAGATAGAGTCCGTTCAGTGTGGACACTATCTTTTGAAAAAGTAGATTGCTTTTTTTGATGCACTTTTGCAATGTGGACACTCTCTTTCGAAAGAAGTTTTTTCGGAAGATCTCTTCCAGAAAAGCTTCTTCCGAAAGAAGCCTGCAGTCTAGACATAGCCTTTGACCAGGATGGACCATAACCTTATGGTTAAATCAAAGTAGATTTTATTTATTGTTGTGGTTATTTGGGCATCCAGTAGCTCTGAGGAATCAGTTGCAGAGAGATTTAATACACTGAGGCTGTGTCTACATTGGCAAGATTTTGTGCAAAAGCACTTGCTTTTGAGCAAAATCTTGCCACCTGTCTACATTGGCCGCGACTACTTGCGCAAGAACACTGACGTTCTAATGTATAAAATCAGTGCTTCTTGCACAAATACTCTGACACTCCCGCTCAGGGATAAGCCGTCTTGCGCAACTGTTCTTGCACAAGAGGCCAGTGTAGACAGGCAACATTAATTTCTTGCACAAGAAAGCCCGATGGCTAAAATGGCCATCGGAGCTTTCTTGCGCAAGAAAGCGTCTACACTGGCACGGATGCTTTTGCACAAAAGCACATCTCTTGCGCAAAGACACATGCCAGTGTAGACACTCTCTTGCGCAAATACTTTAACACAAAAACTCTTGCATTAAAAGTATTTGCGCAAAATCTTGCCAATGTAGACGTACCCTGAGACAGATGTTCTTGACCATGGAGCAAAGGCAGGCATGTTCTTTGAAGAGCTACCTTCTTGCAACCAATATCACCTTAATGAATCCTGGGCACACATTCTGTGAGCTGCCCTTTATCCAGGAGTTCATTTTAAGGTGGTTCTCTCTCTACCATCCTATGAATTCACAATCTCCTGGATCCCAGGTCTAGTAGATCCAGGGGTGGAGGATGAGTGTGTATGGGAAAATCACTTGGGCTAATCCCCTGTCTATAAGATGTTCCTTGAGATCTCTTCATCTAGAAAAGGACCTTTCATTTCTGCCAAATTTCTTTGTTTTCATTTTGGCAAAGAGCAAGCAATATACATAGCAGGTAAATAGATCTCTTAACTGACGGTTGAAAAGCAGCCATTTTGGGATATATCAGTGAGGTGGGGAGGAATACAGCAATTGTTCAACAGGGCGCTCTGACATTTTGCAACAGTCTGTGTGCCAAATCCTGCAATGCTCACTCAAGCTATGTATGCAGTGACTTCACTGGCAGTCTTGCATAGACTATGTGATTGACTCTATGGGAGAAGTCCAAATGAAACCGGAGGGAGTGAACTGAGACAGGCAATGTAACTATCCAAGCAGAAATTGACTAGAAAATCAGAATTAATAGCCCAATTCCAGCAATGTGCCATAAGATTTTGTTTTAATTATAACAATCAGGACATAGTTAAGTCTTGCCCAAAAGATGGTGGGATAAATTCTCTTTCCAGTTATATAAGTACAATCCCATTGGCTTCAATATGGTTTCACAGATCATAAGGAATGCAGAATTTGGCCCAATATCTCCAACCACACAGTGCCACCAAACAAAATGTATTCTAGCCTGAAATGGAGGGAAGCATATGGCAGCATAACTTCATGCAGAACCTTAGGTATTATGAAGTCTGGAAAAAATGCCTGTGTGACCAGAGGCAAAAACTTTATCCCATTAATTTTATATATTGTTTAATCAAGCAATATACAACTCTTGTTATGCTACTGAGGCATTTGCCAAAGCGAGCTAATTGTGCTGGAACAACTGACAATAGAGCAGCATTTACCACAAGCTTCATTTTATTTCTAAATTATTCAATCCAACAAGCATAGCAATGAGGCAGGCAAGGTAAGTCTTTTCTAGTGGATGTAAAGACTGAGAAGAAAAAGAGGAATTTCAGATGTTGCAGAGACTACCAAAATTAATGTTTGCACTTGATTTGCAAATTATTTTTAATACAAGGATATCAAAATGTATCCCTCCCTATCTTTATCAGGGCTGCCAATTTTGTTGCAATGTAAAGAGCCTCTGATGGTTTTCTAGTCATCTTCTCCAATGCCAGTCACTACATTTGTGATAAAAGGTGCTAGAAATTGTGTTGTAATATGTAAATTTAAAATCTGCATGCTCTGACAAAAAGCAACATTCTGTAACAGTGACAAATTACTCTTTAATCCTAGATATATTTATTATGGAGTGGGCTTACCTAAGGCTATGTCTACACTAGCCCCCTAGTTCGAACTAGGGACACTAATGTAGGCATTCGAAGTTGCAAATCAAGCCCGGGATTTAAATATCCCAGGTTTTATTTGCATCTTCCTGGCCGGTCACCATTTTTTGAAATTTACAAGTCCGGACTAACATGCAGCAGGGACCTGGTAGTTCAAATTAAAGCCCCTAAATCGAACTACCTGTTAAACCTCATTCCAGAAGGAATAACAGGTAGTTCGAACTAGGGCTTTATTTCGAACTACCGGGTCCCTGCTGTGTGTAGACGCGGGCAGTTAGTCCAGACTTGTAAATTTAAAAAATGGTGACTGGTCGGGAAGATGCAAATCACGCGCGGGATATTTAAATCCCGGGCTTGATTTACAACTTCGAATGCCTACATTAGCCTCCCTAGTTCAAACTAGGGGGCTAGTGTAGACATCCCAAAAGGCTGTGTCTATATTGGCACCCTTTTCCGGAAAAGGGATGCTAATGTAGACTTTGGAATAGGCAAATCCGCGGGGGATTTAAATATCCCCCGCAGCATTTGCATTAACATGGCGAAAAGCAGGAAAAAAGCGCCAGTCTAGACGTTATTCTCCGGAAAATAAAGCCTTTTCCAGAGGATTTATTTATTTTCCGGAGAATAACGCCTAGACTGGCGCTTTTCTCCGGCTTTTCTCCAAGCCGGAAAAAAGCGGCAGCCATGTTAATGCAAATGCCGCAGGGGATATTTAAATCCCCCGCGGATTTGCCTATTCCAACGTGCTACATTAGCATCCCTTTTCCGGAAGGGATGCCAGTGTAGACGTAGCCTAAGTGTAACACAACAGTTTTGATTTCCCATTATCTTTCTCCTGTTATTGTTAGATACCTTTATTTATAGTGTTTTACTCTCCTCTTTTTTCTCCGTGGATTTTGGCCACATAGAAAAATAAAAGGATTCTTAATTCCTGGGTGAAATCTCAGAAGTGCCTTGACAGAGCCCATATAATTTGCTGTTCTTCCTCAGTCAAAAATCTCAACTCACATATTCAATATTAATAAAGAATATCCTTTCTTCTTGCATACTCTTCCCTTTTTTCCTCCCCTCTTTTTACTTTCTCCACCTCATTCTTTTTCTGTTATTGTCTCTTATCCTCTTTGCTATTGTCATTCCTTCTCTGAGGCACTCTTCCTAGTCACCCCTTTTATTTTACTGCAGTCATCTCTTCATCCCACCCCTATTATCCTTCCATCATTCTGTATTTCCCTCTTCTTTTTCTCCAACTTCCATTGAATATGTGGGAACATGCTTAAATCTGATACTGCAACAAAGTCTGGGTTTCCAGAAAATTTAATGTCTCCGCATGAAGAGAACACAAAGGACCAGGGGACAAATGTAATGTACGAGAGAAGAAGAGAGACAATGCAACACAGCAGGGAAGTTGACGCGGGAGACTAACTGGAATGTCCTGAGCATCGGTGAAGCATAAAAAGATTCATAAACTAAGGTCGATAGAACTATTACACTATTCTCTACAGGACCTTAATATGACGAGAGATGCATAGAAAGATAGATAGAGCTCAGTTAAGACAAACAGGAA